AACTCCAGTTCTTCCTGAATTTAATGGATTCTCCGGCTGGAGCTTATGAGACCAGTCTACGACTTATTTCAGTTATGGAATTTGAATTAATATTTATAACCTCTTATAATGATAGAGTTTACTAATTAGCTCACTCAGAAGTGATACTCATATTCCGTAGGTAATCTACGCCTAAATCTCCTACATTTTGGTACTTATTACAAGAAGCTAGTCAGGGTATAGAGCAGTGATTTTAATTACTATTGGTTATCATTGCAATGAGAAAAACAAACACTGGGTACTTAAAAACCACTTGTTTACAAGTTAAAGTTGCATCAGTATTCATTGTAAGCATATGCATAGATAAATTTCCTGCAGAATGCAAAAATATTTCTATGTAGATGACAGATTTACTATGCTGAAGTCAGAACATATTGACAAACATTTTGCACACAAATTTAGTTGATGTTTTCCAAGTTACTTATTAATTATTAAGTGGTGACGGAGAACTAGCCATGCTGGACTGAAAAATAAAAAAGGTGACGAGATAAGTTCTTAGACGGTGGAATTCATAGAAAACCTAAGCATTGCAATCGGAACCTAGACCTCAGGTCACCTTGCTCCGTGTCAATTATAACAGTTTCAGCGAAATGCTTAAATGCCTAAGCAGTAGATCAGAAAATCGACTACATGGAATAAGGTGTAAAACAAACTTTGGTATTCAATAATTATCTCAATAAGGGAATGCTAAAATGCATAGGAAATTATTAGGAAGAGATGAGGAAGACAGACGGATAATATACGCATCAGTAATGGTGGCACTAGGAAAAGAGTATTCAGAACCTCCCTGCCGTTACCATATAAGGAAAAGATGTCCGAGAGTTTATACAAGATTTTAAAAAGTTTGGGAAAAAGGTTGCCGTTAAACCAATGAACACGTTTAAAAACAAGCTTTGCGGGTTAAAAGATCCTAAGGGCCTATTGCACGAAACAAATCAGATTGCCAATTTCCATGCAACTACTTTGAGCTCAAGAGCGCAAGTCCAAGTAGTCGAACAGAGGCAGTTAGAATAACTGAGAACACTAACTCGACCAAAATCAAGAGAGATAGACCCCATTAACATATGGAATTTAGAAGAAGCTCAGCTATTACAATTCACGAAATTACACACAGCTACACAATAGGTGAGTAGTGTTAGTTTTTAAAACTAACTTTGCGGGGTGGAGTGAGAGAGTGACAACCGAAGCTTTGCTTATCGAATCAATATCAACCACGTGTAATGGGAATGACTGAAAACGTATTCTAGATATTTGAAAAACTACCATTATAAGACAAATAAAAGGGGAGGAGAAAAGTGTGTGAATAATCACCAGGATTAAATTCCATCCGAAATGTCATCGGGCTGTATTACTGTGTTCCAAATCAAAAAGACCAATATAATATGGAATTATATTTTATCACAGTGCTTAAATTCTATACTTACATGATTGAAACAGTGTTTGCATTTTAAAGTACAATATGAAAAAATGGAAGCATAGAATAATGACTGAATCCTGTGTTCATATATGTTAAACCTAAAACATGTAACAATTGGGACTCAGCAAAAATTGTCAGCAACATGGAACATATTGTTGGATAAAAAGTGAAAACACAATGGATTTGATGTCTATTTATAAGTGTGTGAAAATATTATCCCAGTAATAGGTGTCAGCACGAGCCGTAATTTCGCTCGAAATACTGCTAAAATTAAATAATATCATTACAGAAATTGACTCCTTCCACAATGCACAAATTTTAGATGAATATAACTTTACAGGATATTACTTAAAGCACTAATGTTTCAGGTTGGTATTCATTATGAACAGTATCAGTTTCTACAACTAATGTCACTCCCTGATGAATAATAACCTGAAAGTAATAAATCTCCTTACAAGCCTTCAAATTACATCAGTGTTTTATTTATTTGTTTTAATTCTTTATTAGGGTCATTTGATTAACTACTTAGTTATCTGGGTCTGTATTTTAAATCACGCGATACCCATAATAGGATTGGTGTAATGTTTAATCTGGAGATGCTAACAATTTACCCCCTTCAAAACAGGGAGTACAAGGTGACACAAATATAAAATTCAGAAATCATCCAGTAAACAGTATTATATGTCTTCATCCCATCCTAGTCAAAACTTTAGTAGCAAAGCACTGTTTAATTCGAGACTTAGGGAACCCTTAGCTAATTTGAGCTCATCATCATGCATACACTAGTTCAATTTTTTCCGTAAAACAAGCTAATTAGCGTGCACAGGTAGGTGTGGCCGTTGCAGAATACGAAGACATCTACCGATTTGTAATTTCATTTTAGTTGCCTCATCTGCCAACTCGGGCGGTAGTGCCCTACACTTTCAACCTAGAAGTTTCTGGTTGGAATGACTCCACGGCGAATGCGCTTCTTCAACATCATACATTGTTTGGTGGGCTAATGTTTTAATCATGAACAATTCACTCTGTCAGAAGTATATCTAATCGTCTTTAGCGGCAAGCGGCCACCGATAAATATGATAGAGTAACTGATGACATGAAAATTTGACTTCACTTTTAACTTCAATCTAGTGCCCTATGAGCCGTCGTTTGAAGAAACACCCCAACACACACGCATAACTCGTCATTCCTATAGGAAACTAGATTATATGAAATGAAATAGCTTCATATTTAACATAAAAGGAAGTGAATCATCAAAGAATGAAGTGTTAAATTGCAAAAATACTCAGTTATGTACCAATTAAACAAAATAAGGATTGTATGTTGAAATGCACATCCCTGCCTGAATATTTACATTTTTCTACGTAACTCTGCCAACAATCAAATCATCATAAATCATACTTTAATGTGAATTTTTAGAGGAAAATACTCTGACAATAGAAATACTTGAATTAATCGTATTGAATGCAGTTGATTTTGCAAAATACTAGGCATTAAATCGACAGTGAGCATTAAGACATTCTTCAATATTTCAGTAAATGGCTTAGCTATCCGGCCGCTAGATTTTGAACAGCTTTGTTTTGTTATAGAAGCGATCTATCTTGGGAGAATAAGACTTACATATTTATACGTATCAACCGATGCTGCCTATGCATCCATTATATTGGTATGGACTCTCACAATTTATTTCTCGCACTATATCGTGAATACAATACTCCGGCTTCGCAGTCCCGTGACTAATTCATAGAAACGACACTATGTAAGTATAAAATTCATACAACTGAAAAATAATCATATATAGTCTATCGCACTGAATGACTGTGAGATAAGTTACGTAGGTCAAACTAGCTGGTTGCTGTCAGTTACATAATCGGAATTTATTCATTTGTAAGACGATAGACTCATGTAAGATGAATAATCCAGATAAAAACTTGGATATTGCAATGCATGAATTAACACACAATCACGAAATAAGGTAGAATAAAGTCATTGTACTCAAGTTCAGTTAGGTTGGGGGAGAAATTGGTTACTAAATCCTCGTTCACCGAATCGACACCCAATACATGTAATAGGAATGACACAACACCTATTCCAGTGATATGGAAAACTGTAGTACCAATAGAGTCAAAGAATACCAGTTGTTACGGCTATAAAAATCAGATGTCGAAAATCGTGTGATTATGAGCAATAATTTATGCTCAAAACGTCATCAACTAAACAGCACTGAATCATTGTCTGCTGCATATCAAATAAACAGACCTTATAAGCAATCAACAAATGACTACGTTTTACATCACTGAGTCGGGTCATATCACTGATATATTACCTCTTGATGGTGATGCGTTCACTAATTTTAATATCTAATTTCCAACGTTTGCGAGTCGAATAAAAGACGCACGTGTTTTCTTATTTATAAGTAGCTAGTTGAAATATAAATTTATTTCATGGTGTAAATGTTTTCAAAGACGATCAAACTGATAACATAACTTTATTCGAACTCTGGAACGCTTCTATACATAACCACTGCTTTACGTACAGGTTGCCACCAATGTGCATTACTTGTTCTTAGAACTTGACTGTTGTCTGAAATGCATGAACCATGCAATAAACCCTGATTAGATGATAATAAATAAGGTGGAAGGAGTCAGTAGCCTAGTAGAAACAGATAAATTCAGTGCCAAAAGTCATCTATCGAAAACTTCAAACTAACATAGCCACAATCAAATACCTATCAGAAAAACTCATCGATAACCAGTTTTTTTAAATTTAGTAGATTATTTTCCAGAGCTAAAGAGTATTGCACATCTTTAGGCAATCAACTTAATTTTTTTTAATAACTAAAAATCAATGTTTTATAAAGGCTTCACAAGGAAAATAAGCTGAGAGCATTATTCATGTGATAACTAATTTTCCCTATCAGTGAATTCTGAAGAAGGAAAATATATCAGTTTATTTGTTCACAGCAAACAACATAGAAAGTTAAAGTTCACTGAATAGGATATTTGTGTACGGATAGTGAATGAAAATCTGTAAGATGCTCATATAAATTCGCTGTCATTTTGACCTTATCAGGTGATGAAAGCAGGAGAGTTTGATTAGAGATCTACTAAAGAAGTTAACTCAAAACAGGTTTCTGTTAAAATAAGTATAAAATACAAATTATGAAACCATCCTCAAAGTTTTTAGACCTTGTCTTCTTTTAAATAATTATATCCTGTAAATATGAGGTGTTGATAAATTAACAGAAGTACTAATTTCGGTGAATTGAATACTACTACAACACATCATGAGTAGTACATTCCAAAGTGTCACACATTTTTTGAAATTTCGATGAAACTAACATGATTTGAACTCTTTTAATCCCATCAAAGTCAAGCACTTTCATCGGACTGAAAAAAACACTAACACTGACAGATCACGTATTCAAAATCTTCAGTATTCAGTAATGGTATTTCTGACTATGGTGAAACGACAGTTTTTAAGGAACTCTTTGTTTTCAGAAAATCAATAGTATACATAATTTAAGTTTTTCCTTGAAACTTACTTTATATTTCGTAACACTTCGATCGCGATATATCAAGCTTTGTGGCAACGGCATCTGTAGAGAAGAAATATATAATAGTTATAAACATAAGAATTCTATTCTAATAATATTTTTTTCAAGATGGAAAACTAACAATAAGTGTTGGCATATTATTACTCAATCACCATTTCATTTTTCACGCAGTCAGCATCTCCGATGTTTTGACACATACTGGTTTGTTACTACACCGTACTGTCAAGATCACGTCTACATGTATGAACAAAAAGGGACTATCAGATGGTGGCTGGTTTATTTCCAAGCTAAAAGGATTTAACCAGTGTTTATTGATGAAGCGTTCAGTGTAACTACGTAAAACAAAGGTAAATGCTAATTTTCTGAACTTAAATATTTGGAGTCAATCAGAAGGGAGTTGTTGATAAATATGATTTTGTTCCAGTTAATTTTGACCAGATTGTGTGAGAAATGCATGATTAGTCTAAATTCTTATCTGTATCACCCAGTGTCAAACCCTAACACTTAACAGGCAACGGATCCGGAACACAGCAGATCTCCTGTACACAAATCGTTTTCTGCGTGGTTACGAATATAACTCTCAAGTATCACGTTATAAGCTGTGACTAAAGTCTGTAGATTTTGCTTTTTAAAATGTTACGTGAACTGAATCTAGGAAAAGTATTTTTCCTAAACTGCAAACCAACAGAATTCGCTGTTTCGCCTGAGTTATGAAGTGTAATAACTTAGAGCGTTTTTCCTACACAAGCTATAGACTACTATCAGCTTCAGCGATTATCGGTTTTTCACATGCCTAAATACATATACGTATTTGAGCCAGATACTTGTGTGTGATTTTTCTTCTGGATGTCAGATACTTGAGTGACATCATCTGAAAGGGAGAAGAAATACCTTCGAAAAGTCGTGAATAACTCCTTCCTTTGAAATGACAAGTATATTTAGTGCAAGTACCAGTAAGCCAATGCAACTAAGCTCGGTTTAGAAATGGCATCTATTTTCCTAGGAAAATAATACGGGAGTGTAAAAGACAGTTATTAAACAGGATCTAGCCCTGTGAATGCTTTGAAACCGACTTTTAAGTAGTCAAACTACTAATAGTTTATTGCTTACTGTCCCGAAAATTAAACAAGCTGGGAAAATGAACCCATATAAAACAATATGAGGGGTTTTAAATCTGGGATTTGTGACTTACGTACGTAACGAGTTCCAATATACTCTTCAAAAGCACAGGGATTAACCTGCCTGAATAGAATAACTGTTGACGGATTATTCACGTTTTCGCTGGTTTATTGGTTATTGATGTACGAGCATAGTTATAAGAGACGAAGTGAATGTATCAAGATTCTGAAGACCACTCTAGCAGCTACTGAAGCAACTAATTTGAGTTTCGTACTCTATGAGAAAAACTGTCTTCACAGTCAAATTAAAGAAACCGGATTGGCTATTCCAGTAAATAGTAGGATGGCCTTTAGAGTCACTCTATTTATCTGTCTAATTTATTTCAGACACAGGTAGGTCACTACGTTGATGAATCTATGGTCTACGCACATTTTTGATGTGATGAGTTTAAAAGGGAAAGCAGATAACAACATGACCTTTAATTATTAGCCTCCATATTCTGTTACAAATTTTCCAGTAAGTACTGTGATACTGGGAGTTTTTATGCGTTCCGAATAATTAATAAACCTCCAAAAAAAAGTGCATCATATAGTCTTGAAAAAAACTTGCAACATTTACGGAAAAGTCAGTGGGATTGTGACTCACTTTAAAATGCGGAAAGAACAGGTAAATAATGTACAGAAACGGCAACAATGAAAGGAAAATAATCACGAACTGTAGTCTTTGTATCCCTTCGAAATCTCGAATGCAAAACATCAAGCTATAAAACAGATTCTCCATTTGATGTTGACAGTTGGGATGAGCAACAAACTGAAGTGCAAAAGTAACAACATAGATATCAATAACACTTTGGATTATTATTGTTTGAACAAAAGTCATTTCAACGGTATATATGGAACTTGAGTATTCAATTTAAATTTAGTAGAGTAATACACCAATGGTCATAAAACTGGAAAACATTATAGCCAACATTGTGAACTAATGCCTGCAGATATTTTTCGGTAGTCACTTCATTTTCATTGACTGTGAAAGTTTCGTTATTTCATATTAACAAGGTGAATTTTAGAAACACTATAGAGGAATGAGTAGACTGTGATTATTTTCTTATTGTGGCAGCTGAGCAACCTTGAAAGAGATTTAAGCTGTGGAAAACATATGAAAGCGGACAAACTTATGTGAAACAGTTTTACTCTCCTTATTCATGAAAAGCAACCACTAACCCACAAAATGAAAACAATGCAAAACTAGTAACCATCAGATACTTGCATTTAGAGAGAGAAGGTGTATGCAAGATTTGAACTACAAAACAAGTGCAACTGCAAGTTATTCTGAACAAAAAGTCGGCAGAGTAGAAAAAAACTAAAGTTAACTGACTGGCGAACTTTGTTAAGATACACATTCTTCTTAGAATAATGTCTCAGCAGTAACAGGAATCTATTTGAGTGGTTCCAAACACCGTTTATATCTAAAGGTCAGCCTGCTAAAAATAACCCAGCAAACCAAATAAAACATACTTCATTGATCCTCCCAGTGGTCCCTTTTGATGACATTTAGGGTCATTAAAACATCAGTAGTTATCATTCGATACGACCACTAGAACTCCAAGCCTGTAACAATCAGAATCACGTGGTTGTCTTCTCAGTCTAACAACACAGACTGTATGCTTATTGAACTCTGCACATAACTACTATGCCTTCGACCGCAATTGATTCACACGATTAATCACGCAATTTACCTCCCCCCTCCAGCCTCCATACTACAATAAAAACGCTTAATTGCTCACTTTATTCTCTTCATTAGGTTTATAATCTGAGTGACAGACATGTAGAAAGAGATTTTTAAAGAGCAGGAACCAACGCCAGAGCAGAATAATATGGATTCACTTTATCGTTTCGCAAGTTCTCTATAGTTACTTATAACCCACAATATTTACGATAAAAAATTACAATAGAATACCAACCTACTTCACTTCTATGAAACTATTCAAACTGGAAATAAGACACAGCAGAATACGGAACCTGTTCGAATTGAAATAAAGCAAAAATACCCTATAATGATGTCTTAAATATACTTCAATAGAACGAAAATTCTCGCCATAGGTTATATGGGGTAGGAAAATGAATACTGTGTAACTTAAGACAAGAGATAACACAAGTCAATGAGTAGATAAGCTAGCAGTAATCAGAAAACTAGACGTAGTAGAACACAATGAGTACAACTCAGTCGATTAAAATTAAGTCTCAGATTTAAGTGGAAACCTAATGCTATTGAATAAGTGGAGGATTAGGGATTAGGTTACCAGGATAGACGACAGATTCGTCCTGAACGCAAACGTGGTTTCACGTGTTTGAGTGTGACAGCTTCAGTGAAGAGGATTTCGGTTATTCTGTATGTTGATTACCTTGAACGATTCCAAGCTGTATGCTTGATGTCCTGTGTTCAGTAAGTGTTTAGTAATGAATTGTATTTCCACTTCGCAACGTGGTTCATAAAAAATGAAATGACCGACTTCATGCATGCAAAATGGAACAGTGCACAAAAACTGAGTTCGCTTATTACTCAGATCTTTTGCAATCATGTGTTACACTTACATAATGGAAGAATCTGTGAAAAGATCATGAGGTGAACTACACAATAATCATAATAATTAATTCATAGGCAGAATAAAATACTTTGTAAAATAAATAAAATAATGCCACCAATAATCTCATCTGAGATTTATACTTTCCTTTCTCCTACCAACATGTCAATATTGATACGAAGTAGGAAGAAAATAACTCTACCATGCAAACATATATCTCAATATTTGAAGCCACTGAAAAGTTAAACATAATGTTTCCTCCTATCCAAGCGTAAATGAAGCATGTATACGGTATTGCCATAAAATAGGGGTGATAAAGTGAACAGAACATCGATATGATTGCTTCTGACCCCTCCAGCATGAATATTACTGGACAGACTTTAGGATGAATATAAGTAGTAAGTTAGTGACTAGTCACAAGGCATCTAGTTAAATAATAAAGCTTTCATCTTCACAAACACCTTTTACTTCAGGAGTGGAACTACAATGTCTATTAGACTGTGATTTAAGACTTGTTTGCGTGAAATTTTTCAGTTAAAGATCTTGAGGTCCCACAGATTGTCCGATTCAAAATTGGAAATGGATAAATAGATAAAGTTTGTTTTCAATAAGCCATTAGGCTTTGATACAATTACTCCCACATGAAGTAGTGTTCCTGTTTATTTTGTCCTGGCTTCGATTTTCTATGAAATCAATTCTCAGTTTTATTGGTTTCGTCTTGGACTTATATTCTATCCTCTTTAAGACAACTATCTGAAAGTGATGGAGCCTAGTCTAATTGAGAATTCGTTTTCGCTAAGCATTCAAATAGGTCATTACACCCCTTTTACAATATGGCTATTTTTCCCTAGAATCTTGTCAGAAAGTGATAAATCAAGTTAACAGTCGTTTACAAATGCTCGTTAAATTTCTCTTCTGGTATACTTGCCGTAATATTGCTAAGCTCTGGTGATATTTTGTTTTCCTCTCATTTCAAATTCTCTAGGATATATCCATATCTTTAATGTCAGGTTGAACATCTAGTTATTTGTATAACCTTTTTATACTCAGTAACACTAAAACGCTGTTACCTCTTTTTTCCACATCATTTTTTTGCAATCAGTACTTTTGTCTTTTTTAACTGGTCTCAGTGCTTTCTTACTTACCAAGTATTTTCCTCATCATAGAATAACTAGTTTCTTCCTACTCTTTTAAATCCTAGGAATTCTCTTAATAGCCCTTCTTTGCAACTATGACAATTCTGTTTGTTCCTTCTGTGTTCATCAATATTTTGTCCATACATCTGGTGTCATACTAACTAGAAGTTGCCTTTAGGCTTTCTTTTCTGTATGATATGTAGTGCTTTCAGCAAACGTCAATACTGTTTGTTATTGTGCCAGAGAACTGGGCCATCTCCGTCTTGCTCACTGTGTTGTCGTTTGTCTGCTTATTAATTTTTTCTGATACTCTAAAAGGGTTACGTATTTGCTTATGAAAGATACTCTAATAGTCAAAAATCAAATCACAAATCAATAATCAGCTGTCACTTTTAAAATCTTGTGATTTTCTCCCTATGTACTTACTACCAATTTTGAGATACAATTCGGTTACATCACATAATAGCGTAGGATTATGCTTTCTGTCCGCCTCATTTGCATTTCCACATGAAGAGTTCTTTGGGCTTTCCACTGGACATTTTCTAAGCATCCTTCACTTTTTGGAATCTTTCAGCACTATTATACTCTGCTATCAAGCACTGAATTATTATAGTGAAATAATAAGAAAGAAATCACTGTTTCAAAGGTGCCCATAAAATGCTTCGTAAGTGTTAACATCTAACACGTCAATTTTATCTACTTAATTCAAGTGTACTGGACAGTCTGTTTTAATGGCATCACTACTCATTGTAATTAACTTATGTGACGCCCCAACGTAGGTTCTAACACCTCAAAGGGAGTTCGAATACACAACCATTAGTAGGGTGACCTACATGCCTGGCACTCATTTCTGTGAGAGATACTACCATGCGAATTCTCGTTTGATGGGGTCGGTCACATCAGAAAATGTAGCTGAAATCGGGTACCGTTAAGTGTGTTTTTGAACTTTAGGGAAGAGAGAATATCTGTTCGGCACACCTAAAACCATTTCAGAGACCCGCCTGGTTTTCTCAGGTGTATTTTTCAAGGCAAGGTTAAGGTGAATTGCGGAAAATAATCCATATGAAATCGGATTGCACATTTGGTGTTTTTATGTTTTCTAACAGGAATAACTGGAATGTGAAAAAGGTATGGAATATATATATTCTTGCCTTCCCAGTTAGAGCACTCAGTAGTTAATTAAATACTGAGAACAAGATTAAAGATAACAAATCGTTTCTTAGCCTATAGACTAATTTTATGACAGAAACTATCTATTCTTATTTGACTACAATAATTCAAGACATACATCAGATTTTGTTTTCCTTTGAAACAATGGTTAGATTTTTAATTATTTTCCTAATTTTTAAATTCAATGCAGGTGATAAATCCACTCACAAAAATGAATTCACTTTCAATTTTCCTAATAGTCAGCATTCATAGGATTTACACAAATTGATCAATAGAAAGTGACCTAGGGTTGAGCGACTACCGGGTTTCCGGCCAGGTAGTTGCTAGTTAGAATCCCACCGAAGTCTAAATTTTCATTTCACCTTCAATTGTCACCTAATTCAGTTGTCAATCTCTCCCTCCACCCTGCTATATTAGTTTTAAGGATTTTCCACCTCTCGCATCCCATTTTGTTGTTGTGTGTAATTACATGCATTGTTGTGGCCGAGTTTTTTCGAAATTCCCCGCCTTACTAGAATCTATCAACTTTGACCTAGTTGGGGTTTGTGCTCGGGTAGCCTAACTGATGTAACCTACTAAACAACACTATTAAACTGTGCGGTAGATCTAACAAAGTAATTGAAATGGAATTACATTATACCGCAGTGCACCAGTTTTACTCTTATATAAATGTGTCCATACCACTTGAAAAAAATATGCACACAGTCATTTTCAAATACTTAGTCTGTAGCTAAATTGAGCTGGTGTTCAGCTGGTGTTTTACACTGAACAAGACTAAAGAAAGTGATAACAGCAGAAAATGTATACTCTGTTGAAGAAAACTTTCAAAAATAGTGAATTGATGACGAATAAGCTACTATTTTTAAAGATAACCTTATGGAGGGTTTCTTATTCAAGTTGAAAGAAAATTACCAGGTATCAGA